CAGGGTATCTCCTAGTCGAGCAGTCTCGACTAGAGTCTTCTTACTTGTTTGGGTTGGGTTTGGAAAACTGCTTAGCGAACGCTTGCATTCAATTTCTAGTTGTAAATCTTGAAAAATTGCCATTGAATGCAAAGATTCTGAAAGCATTCATCAAACAGTTGGCTGAAAGTCTGGAAGTTCATTCCATATATATATATTATTTGTTGAGTATCAAACAATGACAATCTCTAATTTTGCCTTAAACTTCCTACACTGCACGACATTTTCTACACTCTGAAGAATTTAAAAGCAATGTTAGCAAAATTTATTTTTTTTATCCGTAATGACAACACAAAGTAAACAATGAAAATGAATATACATTATATTTAGTATATTCACTTACATAAAATCGAGAACTCATCCCGTTATTTTGTTATCGATTAAAAACCTTATCGAAAATCTGTAATATAATGATATCTGCTACATCTTTATAGCTAGAATCTTCAAACTTTAAATATTTATTCAGATGCATTATATACAATTTCGATTTGATACAATTCACCCCCACCCCTATATTCACCCCCTCACCCTTAAATCTGTAAAAAGTATCTGTATTTTATATACTAGAGACTTGTGCTTTAGCAAATACACGCAATATTACAATCACAATCTTGATGTTTCACGAATAACGTACATCCACAAGAAAAGTTGTTAAATAATTAAGTTCCCACAGTAAGTCCACACTGCAGTGCACTGCAGCCCTTGTACGATTATGCGTGCATGCGTATGTGTGTCTGTGAGTGTGTGTATTTCTTGTGTAAGGAAGAAGCAAAAAATTATATCATGATGAAAAATCAGTTGCTCGAAGGGTTCAGGGGATCTCGTAGCCGAGCAGTCTCGACTAGAGGTATTTTACTTGTTTATATTGCATATTTTAATCAAAGACTAGAAAACTTCTTCGACTTGTATGTATACAGCAAGTTATTTTCTAAAGATAACTTTAAGAAGATATTTAAGTAATTTTGGGCATTAGAATCAAATATTTATGAGTATTAGAATCAGATGTATTTATAATTATTAATATAATAATTATATTACTAATTAATAATTTAAATATTGATTTAAATCAATCAGAAAGTTATAGGTTATATTTTCAGTATAATAGGTCTTATGCCATTTTAGCTAGTAATACGGATTAAAAAGGAAAAGCTAAGCTGGCCTGCTATTTCTTTCTGTGCATTGAAAGGCAACACATGGAATGGACCACGACCACTGTTGGGCTAGCGACAGCATTCACATATGGCAGAGGCACACAGACATAAAGTCGTACAGCCGCACAGCCAGCCAGGCAGTCAAATCTGTCCATTTGGCTAATAAATCCTTGAGCAGCTTATTGAGCAGCGTCTGCGCATAAATATTATGGCTGCCAACTGGTAACTGGACAAGCACGCAAGTATGGCGACACTGGCGAAGCTCAGAGAGACGCCTTCATTCACTTTTCACTTCAATGCTTTAAATCGTTGCCCCTGTTGCACCTAGCCCCTGTGGCATTTAAGCATCGCATTCCTTGACCGCCTCGTACGTGTTAAATAAAATTCGACGTTAGTTATTTTTTTGTTTGCAATGCTCGCTAGGCAGAGTGAAGAGAGGGTTTTGGTTTTATATAGTGCCTCATCCTTAGACGATTATAAAAGCATCTCTCTGGCTATCCAGCTAGAGTTGATATACCGAACTACTGTACTGAAGGAGCATAAGATATTTGGTCAGCTAGAGTATAGCGCAGTTTGTTATACCCGTCCGCACTTTAGCTTACCATAGCATGCAAATTCTTGAGCTGACATTGGATTTCGGTTGGCTGTCGTGCTGGTATGCCTGCTCAGAAGTTTTATTGTTGTTGTTGTTATTGTTGTTGGTGCTGTTGGTGCTTGTTGTTTCTTAAGTACGCTCGCTGCACTAAAAGGATATGCAAATTGTTTGAATAGCAAACGACATGCTAAACAATTTCTATTCCGGCCCCTATAAAGAAAGAAGTCCAGCGTAACATTTCTCTTTAGTATGTTTTGGCAGTGCCCTTGGTCAAACACTTCTGCTGCTGCTGCTGCTTCTTCTTCTTCTTCTCCTGGCCATCGCATTTTTGTTTGTTTTTGCGCATTAAGTTGTTGCAACAAGGATACGAGTACAGGGCGTACTCTCAGCCCAACTGAAATGTACAGGAAATGTTTTGTTGTATTTCGCACCCGCTGGATATAAATCACAGTGTCGCATGTTATTTGGCTTCGACTCCTAGGCCATCGTACTCCATGTTGGATTATTGAATTAGTTGATTATGTGCGCCAGCCAGCAACAACCTGAGGAGGAGCAGGAGCAGGAGCAGATTGCGGCATTTCTATCTGGGGCTTGTGCAAGCCTATAAATCTTTTGCTTTTTACACATTTGAAATCGCATTTAAGTCCGTAACAATGCCAGCTCAATGTTGCGGTAGAGAGAAACAATTAAAGCTCTTCTCAGGCATGCCTCTTCCACCCTCTGCCACACACGAAAACTATGAGGCAGCGCTTCATTAACTCCCAACAAATTTAGCTGAATTTTGAAATAAACAATATTCACTCGGACACTGTACAAGAAAATTAAGAAGACAGACTGGTAAATACTGACTTTTAAGCCTCCTCTGATTTCCCTCTCTTGTTCGCGTTCTTTTCATTTGTTCTTTTCGTAACTAAATTTGATCGAAAGATGTAAGCATGTTTTAAAGGAATTTAACATTTGATTTGAGAGTTCATTTAATCGAAGCTAATCTGTGTGATAAAGATCTTCTGTATTACAAAGGGTAACTTTATTTTACTTCAACAATAAGTATAATCTACAGTATAATTAACAGTGTTATTTTTAGTATCAATCATATTTAGTATCGTTATAGAGCCAATCAATTCTATAAAATGCATATGATAAAAACATTTTAGCTTTTGCCTTAGTCTGACTTGATACGTAAAGCTTCCTTTTACTTCGCATCAACATAATCATGCCAAAGAAAAGTTGTACAAATTTATGAATATAATTCGCAAACTTTTTAGCAAAAGTTTCGCTTAAGTTTCGTTTAAGTTGTCAAGCCAAAATACATAATCGAAAGCTTAGTTTAATGCTGTGTCGAGCACAATAACTCACCCAAACTCCGCCCCACAGGAAACATATTCAAAAGTCAACGATGCTGGTAAACGGCTATAAACATGGCAAATCCGAGGGCAGATGAAGGTAAGTACTCTTCTTATTCTTCTTCTTCATTTTTTGTGGTATTATATTTAGAGTTAACATTGATGGCAGATTGAGTCAGTCTTTGGCAGGACAATGGGACGAGTAGCCAGCAGGCAGGACAGAAAAATAAATATTTCAACAATAAGTCCCAATCTGCTCAGAGATGTTGGCATGCCTTACTTTGCCTTTTCTGTATGGCTGAGGGCATTTTTTACTGGCCGGTCTGCAGCTGAAGTTGCTTGGAAATGCAATTTCGCAGCAAGTAAATCTGATAAAGCAATTGTAAGTGAATTGCATTAGTCTGAAATTAAGTTTAGCGAGGTAGACTTCCTATACACAGGATGAAGCTTCAATCGACGAACAATTAGCAAGCACAAAGCATTCCTTAAGGGCCACAATTTGCTCTTTAGAATATCAGTGTCTCGAGTAAATCACTTAACCCTAATCCTAAGTCGCAGCTATTCATATCAATTCGCTCCACGAAATCAAAACGAGAAACGAGAGAAGAAGTAAAAACCCTGGCACTAGGAAGGACACGATTTTTATACTCATTCATTCAGCGCCGTTTCTTTTTCTCTTATTCAATTTCTTTTCTTTTTCCGTTTTGTTATTTTTGCCTTGTTACAAGGATATTGACGACGCGTTGTCGTTGACGTCCTCATCGTCGACGTTGTCGTCGTCCTTTCCAGGATGATGATAAAGTGCGACACCAAACCACATTTTTATATATTTTTATATGCTGGCAAATCTATGTGGCAGTTGGCGGTTGCATATTTATGCACAGTTCAAAGATCAAAATGAATATTTTATTTGATTTGATTGCTGCTTGGCTGGGCTGCTACAAGAAAAGCATTTTTAAGCGCGAGCTAAAAACGCGCTATTCTTGGCATAATAAAGTCCTTGGAGAGCCAGCAGCGGGCCAATTGTCTGCTGCTTGATTGAAATCCAGCACTCACCCGACAACCCACCAGACGTCTTCCTCATGTGTATTCAAGTTGTGCACGTGCTGCCAATGTGGCTTTATAATGGGTCGGGTGTTTGCTGCTGCTCCTCAATAGATATACTTAATGCACTGACAATGTGCCCTCAAGTATGCAAAGTCTTGCAGGATATTATTAAGGTGTTGAGCTCAAGCTCTGCACTTGAACATATCAAATGCGGCTGTCTCTTCGGAGATTCCCTATATTCGGAAAATGATTCTGCTTGCACTTACAGTGTAATTAACTTAACGATTTCAGATGTGACTAAAATCCAATCGATTGAAAACTCGCATGACTAAGGTGTTAAACTAGGAACTATCTAACGATTTATGTAAAACTTATAATTTAATTTTTCTTAATTTTGTTTGTAGTTTGGAAAATGAACAGAATATTAATGTTGTACACTGTTAGTCGATTAAAGATAAAGACAGTTAAATCGTTGCGTTGTATGAAAATGATTTTCGAACAAACTATTAGAGTAAATTTTGAAAAGAGTCCGAGCATAAAGATATTCATATGCTTGGCACTTGTACAACCAAAATTAAAAGAGGAAAAAAGTGTCAAATATATCATCAACCTATAGCAATTTGGAATCAAGTAGTAATTTGGAATTAAGTAAGAAGGCTCTAGTCGAGACTGTTCGACTAGGGGATACCCTGAACCCTCCATTCTACACTTTTATGCACACATACATACACATGCATCCTAACGAGAATTGAGAATTTATTATACTCATTCACGAAGTGAATTATTATACTCATTCACGAAGTGAATTA